ACGCACACCTTGTTTTTGGAAGAGAGAAAATGGGGGGGGGGGTAGGGGAGATTTTACCAGTCTTGGCTGCCTCTGTCCTCCTGGGAACACAGAGCATCCAGGAAATGTAGCATCAGGAAGTTCTGGGTGCCAGCTGCTTCACCCAGACTGTCTCCTGAGATGATGCATCTCCTAGACACTGTCCGTCTCCAGGACATACCCTGTGGGTGCGCAAAGTTGCTACTTCCTTTTGGAAGTACTAAAGCACAGAGTAGTAGCAACCCATACTGTGCCGTATGCCAGGCGCATGGTTGTTTTTAGCTGCTACTTTGCTGTAGCGGCACACTGTAATGAGGCCGTGCGCTGCTATGGCAAAGCAGCTGCCGTCACGTGTAGACATGTGTGGTTGTTATGTCCCCGTGGCGTGATGCTACAGCACCGGAGCATCATGTGCAGACGCACCGGGTTACACAAATTTAGGACTTGTGTCTTTCCAAGGGCAGCGGCAAGACTGTTAGTGATTTACTGCAAGTAATTCTTTATATAAGTTCCTGCCAATGAAGTGCTGTTTCCACATTAGATGCCTAATCAAGATACTTCCAGCAGCTCACATCCTGCTGCAGGCCCAAGCTACAGTGCTAAGCCAACAGCTATGGCTGTGGGAGGGTTAACACAGGACTCGGCCACCTTGGCAGACACGGGGCATGAACAGCATCTCCAGCTTGCTTTTTTTTCAAGCGAAGAACACAACATCCCCACCTTAAACACCCCCCAGTTTGGGGGGGTGTGATTTTGGGGAAAAGGTGCATGTGTAAGGAAGAACGGTATATAGAGCCACACACATACAGATGGGCTGTTAAGTCAATCTTGGTTTGGAAGCATTTGTATTCAAAGAGGTGCAGCCAAATTACTGGGATAAAAGCTGCAGAGTCAGAGCTAAGCTCTAAATCAGGTTGTTGTTATTGGAAGCAGCGTCAGACACGCACCTGCCTGACAGATTACATGGCCTTCTGGATTGCGTGAGCACCTCGGTCAATCAAATGGAGCCTCGGGTTTAGTCTGCTTTCAACAGGACCGATGACTTCCTTTCAAGAGGAGTCGATGAGTCCTTTCCAAGCTGAGCTTTCACCATTTCTGGGCCCTGCTGCTGTCTGTATCTCCCCAAGAAATTTAGTGCAATGCAGCAGATGGAGCCTGGGGCCTGTCAGATCCCGAGAGAGCCAGCATTACTGTTACCGACAGTCAGCGTGCTCAGCATTATGCAAATAGGAACCAAGGTTGTCCCCGTCTCCTACGAAGCCCTCCAGGGTGGGTGGTACCTGGCATACTTGAACACTTAAAATACTCTACCTTGTCCGGGCCATCACGTTGTTCTTTTTGGGCTGCTGATTAACCGGACTTCCCATGTTGCCATTCTTCAGGGAACCCTTCCGAGCTAGTTCCCGCTGCTTCTCTGCATAAGAAACAAAAAAGTGAGAGCAAGGTGAGCGATGTCAACTGCCTGGCAACCCTGCAGCTTACAGAGCCGAATCCTGAGCTGGTGAACGGTGCAGCAAAAATAAATGCCTGGAAATGGGCGCTCTCTATCTCTGGAGCCTGGCTTGAGGGCAGGGCAAGCTGCATTAGAGCTTACTCTGGGGATGCGGATATGGGAAGCCAGCCCTTGAGATCACCTGCTTCCTGGCTACGAGAACAAATTAGGAACTACCAGAAAATGATGATGCAAGAGAATCTCCTGCCAAAGCAGGATCCTTGTCTACTATACATTTTCTAGTCCAATCTAGTGTTTAACATCAAGTTACCACTTCCCTGCAAGGCTAATTACTCCTGCTTCAGGAAGCATTATTGCCTTGCTCCTTACTCTTTCCTTCTGTGCTTTGTATTGCTTATTATCTGTCCCCAGGTATGGGCTCACATGCCTACCCCAAATTGAATCTCATTGTTGCTCTGCACCTCTTCCTTGCCTTTTTTTTTAAAAATAGCAAGCACTTTGCAGTCCTATTTGCAGAACATTACTCGGTGTACTTGCTTTTCAGAGCATGAACTAGCTGTCGATGAGATGGGAATTGAAAAACAGAACAGCAGAAGGTAGATTTGAAACTAGAGTGGTTTCAAAGTCAGCTTTACCTATGGACAGACTATGATCACCTTCCCTAATAAAAGTGTTCACCTATGGAGCTGCAACTATATTTCAGGCCCTGCAGCCCCAAAACTCGGCCTTCCATAGCTTGGTGTTATTGATACTTGAGGGGGTGCCAAGAGATGAGAGATACAAGGAGGGAGGGCAGATGCTGTACCACCCTTGCAGAAAGACCTTGACCTAGCCCAGGAAAGCTTCTGACCCAAGTAAGACCAAAGGGTGCAGGTGGGTTGCAATGGGTGGTCTGATGCTTAGTGGGGTTGTTTCTGTACTTGATACAACTTGCGTCGCCTGCGGCTGCAAGAATCGGACCTAGACAGCATACGGAAGCGGCCCCATCTGCTAGTTTTCTCCTCTGTTTTATGTCTATTTTATATTGCAGCATTTTGCTTTATGTTCCTTTCTTGCTCTCCTTGGGGAAATCAGTTGGGTTGCTTTAGCAGTTTGCCAGAGAAGACAGGGGCTAACTGCCCTCATTTTGCTCTGAAAGGCAAGCGAGGGCTTCTAGGGAAAAACAGAGTCTGGAGCCAGCCAGGAGAAGAGCCAGATAAAATCATTCTGAGTTTGATGGAGTTCAAAGAAATGCTGGAAGCTTCTGGCCTTCTGCACCTGACTGATGGGGCAGTTAAGGCTGGGTTGGAGCCTCCCAGGGCTACTGGCTGGGGAACTTTTCTTGTGATTATGGTTCTCCCTGTAGTGTTTGCAGTGCTCTAGTGCATGCTCTGTCTCTGTTGGGTGAGGGGAAATAAAGCTCTTATTATATGTTCTTTGAGAGAAGCACTTTCTTGAAGGGAAGCCAGCCCCATAGCTAGGAACATCCGTGTGACGTGAGTGCAGGGGACAAGGGCAGGGAAACGTGTGATGGGAGAAGAAGGGAACGGCAGCAAGAGTTCTGCTTTCAGCTACAGAAGGACCCTACGTGTAAAAAGCAATCAGAAAAGATACTCAGACCCTGTGGGAATGAATGTGGTATCAGGACTTAGGAGCACCCTACACCTGCGCAGACCGTATGTAATTCTGATCCCGCTAATGTCAACGATGAATAAACTCCATCGGGCTTTGTAGGAACAGGATTGACTAGTAATTTCCTTTGGCTGAGTTACATGGGTCAGGTGTGGGACAGGGACCACAGCAACCTCCCGTGGCCGCAGCTCCAAACCAGACTGGGATTTCTCAGCAACGAATATTCTTACATCACATAAAGATGGGGGGATAACACAGGGCGTTAGAGGGGAACCTAATTAAAACTTAAACTGTGGAAAGGCTATGGGTCTCTGTCTGTGTAGGGAAATGAGTACACTACAAACAAGCTGTAAAAGGCTTAAGAGGCGACATGATTCCCAACACATGGGGGATCGTATGCTTTGTTGTTGATCTCGTTCTGCTGTAAGGTAGTTAGGTTCAAGCTTTCAACACGGATCACCATTCCCTACCTCCCACTGATGGCACAGGGCAAGCACCAGTTCTGTTTTCCATTTCAGATGATGCATTTGTTCAATCAATCCAAAAGCAAGCCAAGGTTTTTCTCAGTACAACATCCAGCAACCTCTGAACTTCATAAAGCAAATGGGCAATGATGACAGTGCTGTTATATGAGATGTGTTTGTGACCTGCATGATCCACTGCCTCTGCCATGACCCCTTGGCTTCCTATTTTGTGGCTTGGAGGTGACATTTCCAGAAGTGGCACAGGAATGTGGGTTCCAGCATCACAAGTGACTCCAGCCCCTGGGTGCCCAAGGAAAACTGAAGATGAAGGGGTCCTGGGTACTTCATGTCTGGCTCCTTTTGGAAAATGGGAGCTTTGAGATTCTGAAAATTTGAAGCATTTGGCTCTGACCATCACAGGACTTGGGCAGAGCTTGGGTGCCTGACCCACAAAAAGTGATCTGAAATATCCCCAGCCAGCAGCCGCTGACCCCCTTGGGTGCTTACCCGCTGGGTCTCAGGGAGCTGAACTCTGGCTTCTGTGCACTGCAAAAGGTCCCAATCTGGGGAGCTGCAGGCCAGATCTGAACTGCCCTCTAAGGAATCTCCACCTCAGCATTTTGATGTCTAAAATTTAGGTTCCTTGCCCAGGGAGTTTATGCTTCCTGGGCAGTGAGTGGGGAGACTAGTGTCTCTTGAAGACAATCCTAATGGTTTTGATGCTCAGTAAAAGCAGGTGAAGGAGTGCCATATCCAGGAGGGTGTCTGAACCCCTGCTTCTCCTTGGAGCGGAGGCATCTGACCTGGAGATGCATCATGGAAGGATCCCTGACTTCAGCTTACAACCCAGCAGGTCTTCTGTATGAGGGGCTTTGGTGATGCAGATGGCGCCTGCCTTTGCCCAGTAGCCTAGTGTCCAGGCCGCTCACCCAGGAAGCGGGAGATCTGGGTTTTAGACCCTTTTCAGTCTGCATGGATTCAAACCCACCTCTCCCACTTCCTAGGAAATGGCCTGGCTAGGTTACATGCTAGGCTGGGGAGGGGGCTCTTGCCTCTCCTGCACAGCCAAGAGTACAAGGTTCAAGGGGTACGAAGGGGAATAAGTTAGAGAGAGCTGAACTCTGCAACCCTTGGAGGAGGGCACTGTTCTAGATGGGAGTCCTGTGCTGTGGCCACTGTTAACTATTTGCCTGTTGAATGTAAAAGGGCTGCTATTTTCATAAGGACCTGGGAACCCCGCAGTGTCCATTAAGGACCTCGACTTTTTGTTTCATCCAAGAAACTGCACCTGTTGTACAACACACAGGTGAGCGGGAAAAGTCCCACCTCCTGAATTACCCTGCCACTCACACCAGCACCTGGACTGGCCTTAAAGATCTCCCCTCCAGAGACTGAGTTTGCTGAATTGAAGGGGATCAGAGCAACAGAAGGTTTAGCCTGGACAGCCTGTCCCTTCATCTTCTGCAGTTACTGGGGTTGGGTTTCTCTTACCGAGGACAGAACATACTGCATGCAGCATTCCCCACACGTGCAATGACCTTCATAAGGCTGCAAAGCAACCAGATGGCAAATTGGTGCTTGCTAATCAAGAAGGGGTCGTAGGAACTGCCGAACTCTGGATAACTCCCCATGGGAATGTAAGTTCCCAGGAGCTCCTGGTTCTGTGCGGCAAAGCAAGAGAAAGATCCCCGAAACAAGAGGTGAACAGAGAACAACCAGAGAGCACTGACTCCCTGCAAGCCCCTTCCAGGCTTTTATGCTGGGTGCCTTAGCTGTTTAAAGATCAGTACAAAGCCTGTGTGGCAGACACTGAAGAGAACAGGGTCTTTACGCCTAGGGAATGGACTCAGGGCTGTTCTTCAGCTATTTCAGAGAAGTCGATACCAATTCCACAGAAGGGCAGTGTTATAATGAGGCCCCATCTTCCATGGAAACCATTAAACAGTGTCTGAAACGTGCCACTTCCCTTTGATTTTATGCCTTTTATGTAAACTGCACTGAATCGTAAACATTCATGCCAATGAGGTCTGTCACCTAGTTCCTGCGAGGTGGCTCTGGGAGGCTGAGCGGGTTCGAGACGCCTGTGTATCCCTGGCTGAGTGGAGCAGGCGGGCATGACTTACCCCGGCTTCCATTGCATTTGGTGCTGTGCTCAAACCCCGGGAGCCGGGAAGCTGCCTGCCTGTGCCATGTGCTCTCAAGGGGCGCCTGTGAGGAGCTCAATTAGGATGCTGAACTTCCTGTCTCGCCGTTAATAGGCTCTGTCTTGTTCGGGGTAATCCACCTGGCTCCGTATACCCACGTGGAAGGCAGTGGCAGCTCTGCTTCCATATGGGCAGATGGGTCGGAGAATGCAGACTGCGATGTGCTTTCAGCCTGGCACCCTGGGGAACGGGGCTGCACTGCTTCCATTTATGTTAATTGCTGACATTATGCAGGCAGAAAACATGTGGGACAGCATGCGCAAAGGAGGGGGGGGACCAGGATCCTCCTGCCATGCTGCCGAGCCACCCTGGACTGAGGGACAGGGGGAGCAAGAACAAGCATGGTAGAACAGGGCCCAGCAAACCACCATGTCAGCCCTTTTCACCCTGTCCTTCATTCACTATCGCATTGCTGCAGTCTGCAGCACGGTTTCTTCCCTCATTCACACGATGCGCCGATATTTCACTAAGAAGGATGATCTGCACAAAGAGGCCAGGAAGGCAGGTTGTTTCCTGTAAGGGTTTTCTCCAAAGGCTGGGCAGTGGGTTGTCACTTCAAAATAGCACCAGCGTTACCCTGGGCTTCTTTCTTGACTCTGCATCTGCTGCCAAAGATGAGACGATGCATGCAATCTCTTTGGGACAGGAACCATCTCTGGCAGGTGTTTATACAGGGCTTAGC